TAATAATAATAAGTTAGCACTCACCTTCCCGCAGACCTCACACGTGAAGACTTTGGGCTTGCTGCTGGGACAGGGGCCGCTGATCCGGGCCCCCCCCGCGGAGCCCTTGAACAGGTGGTCCCGCTCCTTCATGAAGTGCTGGATCTGGCCCGGGGACAGCTCCTTGAAGGCCTGGAGCCCGGGCTGCTGCAGCCCCGGTTTGCTCCTGTCCGCCATCAGCACCTTGTGGCGCGCGCTCAGCAGGTACGAGGCCATCGGGTGCAGGTTGACCAGGCCGGCCGGGGGCGCGCACGGCCCCCCGCCGTCCCCGCCGCCGCAGTTCAGGTAGCACACGGCGCCCACGGTGGGCAGCGGGGCCTGGTTGACCACCCGCGGTCTGAAGAGTTTGTACTGGCCCGCGGACTGGCTCGCGGAGGAGTCCTCCTGCTGGCCCGCCGGGTTCAACCCGAACCCGAAGAAGTCCGCGGGGCCCGGGAGGGAGGCGGGGTCCAGGTGTCCCGGGTCCAGGCCGGTGATGCTGAGCCGGTGGCCCGCCTCGTATCCGAGCGGCAGCAGCGGGATCATGCAGTGCAGGGAGGACGGGCACGCGTCCGGTTTCCCCGCGGGGCTGTGCTGGAACCAGGTGGGGAGCGGTATCGACCTGGGCTCGGGGGTCCTGGCCATAATCCGGTCGATGGAGAAGGCGAGGGGCTTCCCGCCGCCGCCGCCGGAGCTGAGCATGTCTGAGGCCGCGGGCTGGCTCCCGGCGGGCAGGGGCGAGCCCAGGACCCCCGCTGGGCGGCACAGAGACCCGTCCATCACCTCCGCATCTACCGGTCCAGCTGCAAAGTGTTGGCGGGAAGCCGGGGGGTCGGTGCTGCTCCTGCCGGGGACCCCCCCTCCTCCTCCGGAGCTCCGCTTATTGACGCCGCGGCTCGCTCGATGGGCGCGTGTGGAGAGCCGGGACCTGCTGGTTCCGATCAGTCAGGAGGAACTGCATCATGTGTCCGATGGCCCTCCGCCGGTCTGTGCGCGAGGAGGAGGAGGAGGAGGAGGAGGAGGAGGAGCAAGGACTCCAGTCTTGGCAGGACACCTGCTCCAACTGGAAGCAGCTCTAAATCTGAAGTCCTCCTCTGGCTCCGCGTGACATCACTGTGGATGTGGACGCGGAGGACGCGCGGCAGCCGCGGGGGGAGTTCGGTGAGGTGTGTGTGTGCGTGTGTGTGTGTGCGCGCGCGCGTGTGATGCGCGTGAACCCATGGCAACAGATCTCCGGCTGTCAGTCTCGTGGCCTCGGAATCAGTTTTCTGTCCACAGAAACAGAACCGCTCGGTTCCGCTGCACCGCGGCGCCTCACCGGACGGCAGGCTGCAGGGACCGGGCCCAGCGGAGCCAGAACCGACCCGGTAGAGCTGAACAGGAACCGCTGCGGACTCATTGTTCAGATTAAAAAACGTGTCTCCTCTGCAGCGCCTCTGTGAGTCTGATCAGCTGCAAAATAACACTTTAATGTTTCACATGGCCAAGCTCAAAGGCCTCAAATATNGACAAAATCCTACACACTGTGCCTTTAAAGTTAAATAATAATGTTTCTTTTACTGAAGGTTTTCTTTTTTATAAAATTGATTTGCTGGATTGTGATGAAATGTATCTCTAAGAAGTAAATGAAATAGTCGTGGTTAAAATGTAAGGCCTAAGAAATAAATACTATGGATGTGTAATTCTGCATGTAATATTATTATTTGTTAGGGTCTGTGTGTTCTAATACAATTCAATTTTGAAAAAAGATTTTAGATTCTATGAGAATAATTTGTCAGATAACATTTAAAACCAACAAATATCAGCAGACTGACCCTTGGGTCGGACCGAGTTTTGAGCTTTGGGCCCCTTGTGTAACTGAGTTGACCCCCCTGCTTTAGACTGTACAGGCTGCAGAGCCCCTGGTTCAGACTAGTACAAGTTTTTTTTTTAATTCTTGTGGGTCAGATGGTTCTGGTCACGACTCTGAGATTTTTCCAGAGCAGAAAACCCTGAAGAGGTTTGTCTTCACCTCACCTTTCTGATGGAATCCTTTCCCACAGAACTCACACACAAACGGTTTGTATCCTGCGTGGATGCGTGTGTGCGTGTTGAGGGTGGAGCTCCGGTTGAAGGCTTTCCCACACTGGTTACACTTGTGAGGTTTTTCCTGTAAAAACGTGAGGAATAACGGAATGTAATTATGAAAACCGCTGGTAACCACACATCTGTGTTTGTCAGTCCCTGAGAGGCAGACTGAAAAATAAACCTCACACAGTTACAGTCAGAGCTTTAAATGTTTGATCGTTGAGCAGCAGAAGCTAAGAAGTTCTAAAGATCCTTCTGTGTTAAAGAGGACATTTTGAGCTGAAATACGTTGAATCAGTGGACATTTGTCTGCTTTTCTCTCTGCTTTCTGAAGGAGATAAAAAAACCACATCAGCTGTGAAAAAAGACAAAGTTAACATTTAATAGAATTTGTAAATGGACCAAAATGAGTTGTGAGAGCAAACGTTTAATTCAAAAGTCAGAGTGTGACATCAACAAGTTCAATATTTTGTGGGGAAAAAAAATGGAAAATCTGTGAAACTTAAATGAAAGAAGTAAAGTCCAACTGACTCATTTAAACTCTGAGCTGCAGATCTAAACAAGTCTGAGTTTTATTGTTTATTTTTCTCTTTACTTGATCTGTTGTCCTGGTTTTATCTGAATTTCCTCAGTCCTGCTCTTCATCTCACACCTGCTCCTTGTATTCATTGGTCTCATCTGTCTCATCTGTCCCCGTCTGTCTCATCTGTCCCTGTCTGTCTCATCTGTCCCTGTTTGTCTCATCTGTCCCTGTCTGTCTCATCTGTCCCTGTCTGTCTCATCAGGGGGTTTCAGTCCACATGTTTGTCTTCCTCCTCATGCTTTTGTTTCTTCTGGATCTAGATTTGCTGCTCTGTCAGTTTTGGTTTTATTTTAAATAAATGGTTTTTAGCATCTAGTCCATGAGTCCAGTCTGTGTCCTGGGTCCTCTCTCCCCCGTCACATCTGTTTTTAGCTTTCAGTCCACGCTGTCCAATGTAGCCCAGCTGTTTTCATGCCTCAGTGCTCATTAGACCTTAAATATTTCAGAGAATTTTTAAAGCAGAATTTCGAAAACATGTGTATATATATAT